TACCTTTGACTTGGCCCCTTTGAGATGCCATCGAGTTCGAGTTCTCCGCTGGTCCAACCATCTCCACTGTCGATGCCTTCCGCTTCATCTTTCTTCAAACGCTCATGTGAATGTAATCCCATTGAAATGGGTTGGGAGGGTCAACATATCCGACCCAATTCCCACGTTTTTGCTCTCTTCCTCTATTCTCGACTGTAGATTTGTCTGACCACGCTCGTACATGAGTGAGACTAATCTAGTCACATCTCTCCTTTTGTCCACGCTGAAATCGAACCAAACTAAATGTTTAATATGCGAATGATAACCATTCTGTTCCAGAAATAATTCCTAAAACAGCAATAGATTCTATTTCTGTTTTCAAGACGAGTTTTTGAGAAAAGAAATCCCGTTTAATAACGACAAAAATTTCTATTTCTGAAACAGAAACCCGTTTGATAACAGCGTAAAATTTCTATTTCCTGAAATAGAAACCCATTTGATAACAACACAAATTTCTATTTCTCGGAATAGAAATCCATTTTTTTAGAAATAGAATACAAAATTAGAAAATCTGGAAATTTCCTAAAAATCTCAAAAAAAATTCAGAAAATCCATAAAAATTGAAAATTTCCAGAAAAATTCATAAAAATTTCCAAAAAATAAAAAAATAGTCAGATTTCAGGAAAATAGGAAATTTGTTGAATTTTTTTTAAAAAATAAAAAATTTCAAAACTTTACAGAATAACTTAGAATACCCATGATCACCCACTTTGAGTAAAATTTAAATTTTTTGAGGTGCCCAAAAAAATCAAAATTTCAAAAATTTCAAAATTTCACAAAATGGTTTAGAATACCTTTGTCCACCCACCTTGAGTGAAATTTAAATTTTTTGAGGTGCCAAAAAAAAATAAAAAAATAAAATTTTCAAAACTTCACAGAGTGGCCTAGAATATCTTTGGCCACCCACTTTGAGTGAAATTTAAATTTTTGAGGTGCCCAAAAAAATCAAAAAAATAAAAAATAAAAAATTTCACTCAAAGTGGATGGCCACAGGTATTCTAAGCAGTTCTGTGGGTGGCCACATGTATTATAAACCCTCCAATAGCATGACCGAGAAAATCCTCGACTTTTGTCGCGTTAGTACAAATTTGGGGTTTTGATAGTTAGTCGTAAACATATTGTCCGAATGTTAATTCGGTTCAAAACTTTTCGATTTTGGCGATTTAATACTAGAACTTTATGTCAGATTTCAACGCGGTCCTTCCGGCTAATTTTCGCAAAGAATCGTCGAAGTTGCGTTGTGCCACGTTGGATGGCAATTTCCGGTAAAAATTGGCCGGAAAGACTATGTTGGAAATCTTGCACAAAGATCTAGTATTAAACCGGCAAAATTGAAAAGTTAAGAACTGAATCGATATCAATCTAATCAATTTATGACCGATTTTGTAATTTTCCTTTAAAAAAATGGATATTTGCATTGCGGTGGGTATAGTTTAAGATTTTTGCAATGCAAGAATTTTTGGTATTTGTATCGTAAGAGGCATTAAATTTTTGGCGGCATTAGTTATTTTCTTCTTTAGCATTTTTTTTATGATCAAGTCATTTTAGCGGGAACAAGGGCAATACAAGCTAACATGCTCAAATGAGTTTAATCGAACGCCATCGATATGGCACGACAAGCCCGAATCGTACTGGTCTGACCCCAAACTACCATTGATTCGTACCGAAGCGGAGAAAGTGGTATGGATAGGTTTGACATATTGGGTAACTTTTATTTCTTTTATTGACCAATGTAAAGGATTGAAGGATATATACATAATTCAACATAATTACACGTATCTAAAATTTAATTTTTTTTAAATAACCCTACTTAGGGTGCCTTTCTTTCTGGTTTTTTCCCTTTTTATAAAGAAATACATAATTTTCCACTCAAAATTTCGTCAATAATGGTTCGAACGGGGAATAGGTAATTTATTAGGTGATGTCCTACTTTAATTGGTACGGTCTTAAAAAAACGATCTTGTTAAAGAGCGCTCCGACACAATTATTAATAAGGAAAAAAAATTTCAAATGAAGAACCGGAGCATAATCCTTTTCTAAAAAATAAAAGTTCCGGGTGGCTAAATTAATATCGAATAAGGGTCAGAATTAAATATACAATGCATTGTGCGCACGTTATAATGAATGTAGAATACACTAAAAAATATACAATAAACTGTGGAACGAGAAGAAAAGCGAGTGCGGTCGGTCTGCGGCGAAAAAGTCCGATCGTGAACGAGGAGGAGGAGGAGGTACGTTCTGGGGAGGGGGACAGTTTTCTCTTCATTAGCATTTTGGTTTTTTTTTTATTAAACAACAGTGGTTGGGAGCAGCAGCAGCAGCACCTTTTTGCCACTTTGGGAATGACATTGACTTCGAACTGAAGAAGAACAGGAACAAAAAGCATTGGCTTTCTGCTGTTTCTGTCTTTAGTTATAAAAAAAGCACGTGACGACGCGTGCTGGTCCCCACCCACCTGTGCATTAGAAAAAGAGCCAGCACGGAAAGGGAACGCTTAAAAGAAGTACTTGCTGGGGTGTTGCCTGGAGAAAAAGAAGGATGGTTTCAGGGCAAATATTTGCTCGTATATTATATATAAAAGAAAATTATTTATCGAGCAGCGGTCCACAGGATAATCTCAGTGGGGCACAAGTTATGATTAGATTACAATGATTTAAATCGAATTAGTTCAAATTAACTCGGGTTTGGAGATTAAGTCGAGATTGATTCAAAAATTCGGTCAAGATAAGGATTATTTCTATCTTGGTTAGTCTCTCGTGCCAAGATCAAGAGTCCGCCGAATTTTAACCTAATCCCTCTTGCGCGAGCGGATGTCTTCAAACGGGGATTGCTCGATCAGGCAACATAGGCATGCGCGCTTTCATTCTATGTTATTATCTTTAACTATGCATTGATTCGGATTACCCGATCATCATTTGTCGTTCAACAATCATAGCTTGATTTAATGTTTCGTGCATGGTTTTGTACATAACTTGTGTTTGGTTGATGGGAAACGTATAGCCTTTCCAAGTCTATTTACCCGCAATATTACTTCGTGTCCGAGAAAAAAGATGGCTTTGCGAAAGAATTTGGAATTTTGCCCGAGTTGCATGTACTGGCAGACTAGACAATATTCCCTAGGCTACTAATTGGTATTTTGAAAAGATTAGTGGCAGACTGGACAATATTCCCTAGGCTACTATTTTGAAAATTTATAAGTAAATTTGTCAACTCGAATTTTCGTCGACAATGGTTGGAATGGAGGATAGGTAATGAATTAAGGGATGTCCAACTTTAAGTGGTACGACCCACAAAAAAAAGGGTCTTATTAGAGAGCACTCCAACACACTTATTAATAAGGAAAAATTTTCAAATAAAAACCTAAAATAGAACCATTTTCTTAAAAAAGGTTAAGAGCAGCCAAATTAATCACAAATAAATATCCAAATTAAATATATAACGTAGTGTGCACACGTTACGGTAAAAATATATATCCCATTAAAAATTACAAAAATTTTCTCGATTAGATAATTAATGAGTGTCGGTAGCTGTCGTTCAAGAAAAAAATTCCAGAAATAGAAAAGTAGAAAAAATTTACTTCTCATTTCTGTTGTAAACCTATTTCTAAAATCAAAATTTGTTCCAGAAATAGAAAAATGAAATTGCGTTACCAAATGGATTTCCGTTCCAAACCTCTTTCCAGGAACAGAAAAATAGAAAAACATAGAAACAGAATGGTTATCATGCACGCCCTAAATATCGAACACTTCAAATGACAATTTCTTAAATCTCAAACACTTTCCAAACTTAAAGTGTTCTCATCTTTGGTAAGTTAAAACATGTCTAATTTCAAAAAAAATAACAACAATAAATTCATCTCCCAAAATGTTATATTTAAAGTTTTCTCTTCGTCTGGTAATTTTTGTTCCCACGTAAAGCTGTGTGCTCTTTGGGCTAGCACCACTAATCCAAACATAAACTCTCTCTTGTTTTTATAGCAAGGATCGCAATATGAACAAGTCTTAGCGAGTGATCTCGCACTTGTTTTTGCTCATAATGAGTTTACCAATCTCGGGGGTGGACGCGTAGTTCTCCATCCAAAATTGTAAAGCCGTATGGGATCGGAAAGTTGTCTTATCGGCTGATCCTACACACCAGGTCTAGGCATGTCGACATCTTTTAGAATATCTTAGCTTAGAACGCGTGATTGCATGATCTCGGTGTTCCATTGAGCATGGACTAGTCAATGTTTTATGTGGACTTGTACCTGTGGAGACCAAAAAAACAAAAAAAGGAATTATCAAAGAAAATATTTGGTGGGTCTGACACGCCACGTAGGCCAATAGACCACTTCACTCATCGATTGCCATGTGTCCGACTTGGACAGGTGGTAAGCCAATTGTTTTTTGGTCGAAAGGGTGGTAGGCCAATTAATTGAGCGGTTTTTTGGCCTTAGTGAAACGTTAGACCCACTCAGTATTTTCTCATTGCTCTTTGAAATGAACAGAGATTTCTTGGACAAAGTTTTAGAGTGGTGTTTGAATGGCTAATTGTGAACTCGACCTTTTCTTTTCTTGTTTTTTATTTTTTAGGGGTTTTATATTTGCTTCTAGCTGTTAAGAATTAATCTTTATTTTAACGGAACACCTCAAATGTTTATAAAATCATGTGAAGTTGATGTTGGACTTTTCTTTATGAAATATCAAAGTATTTGTTATTTTTTTTTGACATTGTATATATGCATTCACAATACGAGTTCATGCATCTGATTGGCAATTAGGGGGAGATTGTCTTCTTTCCGGCCACTGTCCATCGTCGGGGCTGGACTTGTTTTTTTATGTTGAATACGTATCTTTGATATGTAAGGGCATTAGAGTGCGATTCATTCCTAGAGTTTTTGGCATGAACATTTATTTCTTGTAAACAGAGAAGATATGGCTGGCGAGCGATGATGCTAGAGACCGTGGCAGCGTTTACCCGCCATGGTCAGAGGAATGCTTCTGCACTGCAAATCGCTAAGGCGGTTCAAGCACGGTGGTGGTTGGATCAAAGCTCTGCTAGAAGAAGCCGAGAATGAACGCATGCACCTCATGACCTTCATGGAGGTTTTGCGGCCAAGATGGTGCGGCCGTGCACTCGTCCTTGCAGTCCAGGGCGTCTTCTTCGATGCCTACTTCCTGATCTCTCCCAAATTCACCCACCGAGTGGTTGGTTACCTCGAAGAAGAGACCACCCTGCAGTTCGAAACACACTCGTCCCTGGGGAAGATCTCTAGAAGTAGCTTCTTGGCTTCTTTGATAGAAATCTCAATTCATTTTTATGAATCACCCTGACGTGATGAAAATGAGCCCGTGAAGAAGACCCTGAAACTTTGTTAATCGGCTGTAAGTACAACCGCTGACGGCAAAACCTGATCAAGTGATTAGATTGGCTAAATCATAATTAGTTGATCTGTTTTTTTATAGGATTCCCTTGGCTGATTTATATATACGGTCTTCCAAAGAATACTTTGGTTAGTTTTAGGTGCTGCATGAAAACCATTCTGGTTCTGTCCAGAACTAGTTTTTTGTTCCCAGAATCAGTTTTGGACCAGAAACCCGTTTGGTAACGCAATTTCATTTTTCTATTTCCGGGACAAGTTTGCTTCCAAAACTGATTCTGAAACCAGAAATGAGAACAAAAAAAAAGTTGGTTTTTCATTTCTGGAACAAAAGTGAGAACCATTTCTGAGGAATTCATTTTCTTCAACACACATATTCATATGGAAGTCACGATCTTTGAGGTGAGAAAAAAAAGCAAAAAATCAAAAATTTCAAAACTTAACAGAATGGTTTAGAATCTGTGGCTACCCACTTTCAGTGAAATTTAAATTTTTTTAGGTACCGAAAAAAATAAATAAAAATAAAAATTTTCAAAATTTCACAAAATGGCTTAGAAAACCTATGGCCACCCACTTTGAGCAAAATTTAATTTTTTTAGTTGCCAAAAAAAAATTCTAAAATTTAAAAACTTCACAGAATATCTTAGAATACTTGTGGCCACCCAATTTGAGCGAAATTTTATTTTTTTTTAGCTGTCGAAAAAAATAAAAAAAAGCAAAAAATCAAAAATTTCAAAACTTCACAGAATGGCTTAGAATACTTGTGGCCATCCACTTTGAGTGAAATTTAAATTTTTTTAGGTGCCGAAAAAAATAAAAAATTTCAAAACTTCACAGAATAGCTTAAAATACCTGTGGCCACTCACTTTGAGTGAAATTTAAATTTTTTTATATGCCAAAAAAAAAATAAAAATAAGCAAAAAAGGAAAATTTTCAAAACTTTACAGAATGTCTTAAAATACCTGTGGCCACCCACTTTGAGCGAAATTTTATTTTTTTAGTTGCTGAAAAAAATAAAAAATAAAAAGAAAAAAAGAAAAAATTTCAAAACTTCACAAAATGGCTTAGAATACATGTGGCCATCCACTTTAAGCGAAATTTAAATTTTTTTAGGCGCCAAAAAAAATAAAAAAATAAAAAATTTCACATAATTGCTTAGAATACCTGTGGCCACCCACTTTGAGTGAAATTTAATTTTTTTTAGGTCTCGAAAAAAAATAAAAATAAGCAAAAAAGAAAAATTTTCAAAACTTCACAGAGTGGCTTAGAATACATGTGGCCATCCACTTTGAGTGAAATTTAATTTTCTTTAGGAACCAAAAAAAATAAAAAAAAATAAAAAATACCATTTGGGCATCTAAAAAAAATTAAATTTTGCTCAAAGTGGGTGGCTAGAGGTATTGTAAGTCATTCTGTGAAGTTTTGAAATTTTTGATTTTTTATGTTTTTTTTCACCTAAAAAAATTTAAATTTCACTCAAAGTGGATGGCCACATGTATTCTAAGTCATTCTGTGAAGTTTTGAAATTTTTGATTTTTACTTTTTTTCACCTCCAAAAATTAAAATTTCACTCAAAGTGGGTGGCCCACAGGTATTCTAAGCCATTCAGCAAAGTTTTGAAATTTTTGAATTTTTGAATTTTTTTGGGCACCTTAAAAAATTTAAATTTCACTCAAAGTGGGTGGCCACATGTATTCTAAACTATTCTGTGAAGTTTTGAAATTTTTGATTTTTTGATTTTTTTTGGGCACCTAAAAAAATTTAAATTTCACTAAAAGTGGGTGGCCACAGGTATTCTAAGCAATTCTGTGAAATTTTGAAATTTTTGATTTCTTGATTTTTTTTGAAAAAGTTCAACAAATTTCCTATTTTCCCGAAATCTAAATTTTTTTTATTTTCTCGACATTTTGATGATTTTTTCTGGAATTTTTCAATTTTTTGGGATTTTCTGAATTTTTTTAAAGATTTTTATGAATTTTTTGGATTTTTTATTATTTTTATTTCATTTCTAAAAAAATGGATTTTTGTTCCTGGAAATAGAATTTTCTGTTGTTTATCAAACGGATTTTTATTTCAGGAAATAGAAATTTTGTGCTGTTATCAAACGGGTTTCTGTTCTAGAAATAGAAATTTTTTGTCATTATCAAACGAGTTTTTTTTCTCAGAAACTCATCCAGGAATTAGAAATAGAAAAATCTATTTCTGGTTCAGGAACTCATTCCGGAACAGAATGGTTATCATTCGCTACCTTTAGTGACATGTTAAAAGAGAATCGTGTCTTCTTCTTTTTTTGGCTAACTGTGATGATTCTGCAGATCTTCCCACTGAACTTTGATTTGAAATATTACTTGTAGATGCAGGTTGTGGAAGCATAAGCAGAGATCATAACGGGTTTGGCCATCCAATGGTCACAGCTAGAAAAAACAAGCTTTGTATAGTTGTGACAAGCTTGTGATTGGAATTCAGTAATAGTGACCACATGAGACGTGATATGACAAACCTTCAGCAAAACGCTCATAAGTTCACTTTCTCCTTTGGGATAATGCTCCTGTTATTCACTAAAAACACTGCAACGACGTGATTTTCTAGACAACCGGAGCGGCTCGAATGTTTATTTGGCCTCTCAGTTTCTTAATTTCACAGTGGAATGTGGAAAATTCAGGACATTCTTACAACCTCTTATTCATGAGAAATCCTCAGGGGGAACTCTTTTGAAACAGGCCTCTCCTCTGACCACAGCTTTAGATTAATCATTCCAGTTTCCCAGTGGATCATACACTTGAAGACCTCATTGATGTCGAACCGATTGACTAGTCCCACGCCAGGGCATTCATCCCAGAGCAACCATCCACCTGAAAAAAGTGGACAGTAAAGGCACCGAGATGAAGAATATCCTCATTTGTTGGAACAAAAAACGTCTAAAGTGAGTGGCTACTGATTGGATAACCGATTCATGGTCGTCCTATCCAAAAGGTTATCATTTTAAGGAATCTTTTGAGGGGGGTGCTAGTAAATAACCACTTTAGGTTATGTAATCAAAGAAAAGAACATGCCCACCAAGGACAGGAGAATAGAAGCTGGAAGCGTTGTAAACATATGCAAGAAGCAGGATGTTTAATCACAGGAGTAAGCTGCTCTGAACGGAATCCGCAATGAATGATTCAATCTGAAGACCTAATGATTGATGGAATTATGTTTAATAAAAATTGTATTTGAACCCAACCAAAAGCTAAATATACGTATATCATGGAAAAGACTGAACATTTGCTGAAGCATATGTATTGATCTCTCAAAAGATGTATGGAAATTACCTAGGGTGATTGGGCATCCACTTGATGAAGATTTTAACCATATGTAGACATGGCCATCCAAAGAAAGTGAAGATTATCGCCATGCTCAACCTATTGATTAAATGGAACTTTAGGAAATGCATTAGCTAACTGATGAAATCGGACATGGGGGAACCTCGGCTGATTGGTGGTTACATGGAAGGAAATCTCAAGGACCTATTAATTGACTTTGATTAATACAAGGCCATAGGAAGATTCACACGAGGATGGAAGGGTGGAAGACAATAATGGCTGGCTAAGGGACCTCTGACATTTGGATCAACGAGAATTGAGGACTTGAATTCGAAGCAGGAGACGAGAATAGTCTATAACGAGAATACGACCAATATGAATAGCATACACCTTGATTCTTGTACTTCCACTTGTGCTAAACTTAGAAAGACCTCGAGCGTATTTTGAACTATCTTTGTATCATCTTATCTCTAGTAAGCACTGCGGAGTGTGTTTATAAATTTAAATGAGAGGGAGAGGCTTAACTATATGGGGGCATTGATAGGAGACCATGGTTCCGCTCTAAAGGAGCGGCGGGTTCTGTACAAGGGTCTTTACTATAGAGGCAAATAGATGATATGAGTTGTAACATATTTGGTGGAAGTAGTGGGACGCAGCCTTGGTTGGCAGCTGGGCTGGTTGTACTTGAAGGGAGGAGTAAGGAGCGGGCCTGAACCTCTCCTATACTTAGCTCAATCTTGTTATCTCTACTCTTTTGTTTATTGTTAATCACTTGAAGCATCAACGGTTTCTGGAATATTTCTGTTAAACTGATATCAGCGTTATAAATTTAATGCTAACCAACTTTTGGTGATCCAAGATGGTAGAAGTACCAAAATCTTGAACAATGCACTTGGATCTTGGTTTAACAAGGAATTTGTGATCCTGTTAACCCTAGTTTTCCAGCATAAAACCAAATGCAAGTTTTGGCAACCCAAAGTAAGAGTTCCAAAAGCCGGAATGATGCAACCGGACACTACAAAAAAAAACAAGGGATTAGCGACGAATTTTGCGACGAAAAATTTGGCAAAATCCGTCGCTAATCGAATTTGCGACGGAATTAGCGACGGAAAAAATTCCGTCGCTAATTCGTCGTCGCAAAATTTTGCGATGGAAAATTTCAATTTCCGTCGCTAAAATTCGTCGCAAATTAGCTACGAACTTCATTCATCACAAATTAGCCACGAATTCTATATGTCGCAAAATTCGTCGCAAATAATTCGTCACAAATTGGTCACGAACTTTATTCGTCACAAAATTCGTCAGAAATTTCGTCGTAAATTAGCCACGAACTTTATCCGTCGCAAAATTCATCGCAAATAATTCGTCGCAAATTAGCCATGAACTTTATTTGTCGCAAAATTCGTCGGAAATTTCATCGCAAAATTCGTCACAAATTAGCCACGAACTTTATCCGATTTTGTAATTTTCCTTTAAAAAAATGGATATTTGCATTGCGGTGGGTATAGTTTAAGATTTTTGCAATGCAAGAATTTTTGGTATTTGTATCGTAAGAGGCATTAAATTTTTGGCGGCATTAGTTATTTTCTTCTTTAGCATTTTTTTTATGATCAAGTCATTTTAGCGGGAACAAGGGCAATACAAGCTAACA